TTGGTGGGGGGGGGGGGGGGAAGGGTAGGGGGTGTTATCCAATGGCACATGAAGTAAATGAAAGTCTTTTCAGTAATGTCAGTAGGAGTTAGATACAGGTTGGACCTCCTGGCACCCTTGGGACCTGACCATTCTCAGATGAGGGATTTTGCCAGGCCAGGGGAGGTCATTTCTGGTCCCCCTCCAGCTTGGCTGGATCTCCCGGCCAGCTCCCCCTTCTTGCTGGCCCCCGCTGTTCTGTCAGCCCCTGCCATCTCTGCACATCCAGCTCCTGCTGCTGAGCCAGACTCCCGCTGCTGCGCCGGGCAGCCCCGCTGTGTGCTGGCCTCCTGCTGCCATGCCAGACAATCTCCACACCAGGCTCCCACTGCAGAACCCAGCTCCTGCTGCCTCTGCATACTGGACTCCCACTGCCCTGCCGAAAAGCCTAGCCATGTGTCTAGCTCCCGCTGCCCTGCCAGCCTGCAGGGCTCCCAGGTGCTAGCTCTCCACCAGCACTCTCTGGTCCTGCAACATCCATGGTCCTGTCAGAGCACAGATGTTGCTGGACCAAAGTATAGGATCAGAGAGTTTGTCTGGATGTGCTTATGTCAAGGAAAAAACTTTGTCAATATTGTAGTTGGATTTCCAGAATTTTTGTTGCTGGTTTTTCTGTTTGTGTGTTTTGCATGTGTTCCCAAACACCTGAAACTCTACAAATAGCCTTTTCTTCTGTCTCTCACTTGTGACCTCCTGTAAGTATCAAGTTCCTTCAGGTCAGGGTAGAAGTGTCTAACCAGTATAATTAAATGAAGCTTCCAACTGTTTTATAAGCCCTTTAGAAGTGTCAAGTCTAATTATTTGAACGCTAGCAGCTATGGTTGAAATAGCGTGATATGTCATGTTTTCAAGTCTGTGGTTTCTAATGCAGTGTCAAAGCTAAGGAGTCTGCTCTGACACTCAGATTTCTTATGTTAGCTCTAGTTTATTCACATTAGAAAATGTTGGGTTTTGCCCTGAGAAATGATTGTTTGTTGACCCCAACTATCAAAACTCTTCTTAGTTAAATCATTTCTGTAAAATGGAAGCCTGTAGTGGGGTTGACTCACCACCTTGGCACTTCCTGCTGGTCGGGACTGGGAGGACACCATCTTTTGGTCAATGTCTCGCCCATTGTCACATCTCCACTCTGCTCATCTCAATTTGGACCCACATTGCTCTCAAGACCACAGCGTCCACTTCAAGACACTGTCCTCTCGTATTGCCCTGTACTTCAATTTCTCGCCTTCCTTTGGGGTATCAGCCATCCTTCGTCTCACCTGCCACTGAGAGACTAGCCCGTTTTCTTCAGGGGCAAACCACAGTCTGTATCTGCCACTCTGATGGCAAGGTGTGGTGTAAGGGTGAAGGGAGTGACCTTCCTACTACTCTGGGTCCCAACCCAGAATCCTCTAGCAGAATCCTTATCCTGCTCTCCTTCACTCTTTCTGAACTGCTCACATTTCCTAGATCACTTCCCTGTGATCTTGCACTTTCTTGGCTTTTGTATCAAGGCTGCAGCCTGGGGGTATGTCCAGACTACAGGGTTTTTTTTTTTTTAAAAAGTGGCCTTCTTTTGAAAAAACTTCATCTGTGTCTGGACAGCTGCCGCGTTCTTTCGAAATTAAATCAAAAGAATGCAGCAGTTTTTTCGACTGTGGAGAACCTCATTTTACGAGGAATAACACTTTTTTCCAAAGTGTTCTTTCGAAAAAAGACCGTATTGAACGCAAACAATGCTCTTTCGAAAGAGGATCCAGATTGCCTGGGTGCTTTCTTCTGAAAAAGCGGCTCTCTTTTTCGAAAATACTGTTTGCTATCTAGATGATCTCTTTGGAAAGATTCTTTCAAAAAAGCCTCTTTCGTAAGAGGCTTGTAGTCTAGAGATGGCCTCGGAGGTAACAGGTTGGAGCCTCTCTCCTGCTCCCCTGAGCCTGCCCAGCTCTGCTCTTTCCAGGTGCCTCTCCCTCCTTAGTCAGGACCCAACTGCCCTCTGCTCTGCTGACCAGCTCTTTATAACAGGTCTTCCCCAGCAAGCTGCTCTCCAGTTGGCTTCTTATAAACCCTTTCCTAATTGTCCAGGGCTCTGCACAGGCTTTCTTCAGCCTGCTTTAACCCATTCCATGCAGGAGTACAGAACCTAATTTCACGAGCCTGAAATTTCATGCTGCTTCTTTCAGAATATTTGTGGATGCTGTATCTTAGCGCCCCTTTGACTGGAGCTGCCAATTTTCTACACCTTTCTACATGCGTGGTTTAGAGAATATGGCGTGTGTTCTAGTGAGGAGCATAACTCGTTCCTTTTCTTCTCCTGCTAAATTCAGAGGGAGAGCTCCCCTTCATAGATTCCAAGGTCAGAAATGGGGATCATTGTAATCACCTGGGATGACCTACTGTAGAACAAAGGTCATGAAACTCCCCTTTCCCCCAAAAAATCCCTAGATCTTTCAGAAAAAAATCTAATCTTGATTTTAAAATTGAGTAATGGAGACTCCTCCACAATCCTAAGGAAATGGTTCCAGTGCTTGATTACACTCACCATTAAAAATGCTTGCCTTTTTCCAGTCTGTATTTGCCAGGTTTCAATTTAAAGCCATTGGATTGTGTTATACATTTTTCTCTGTTGGATTGAAGAGCTTATTTGTTTCCTATGTAGATACTGTCAGCCCTTAACCTTCTCATTTTGAAGCTAAATAGATTGAGGTCTGTGAGCAAGATTCCCTGTAAGCTACAGGGCAGCAGGGCTCCTCAGCTGCTTAATGAGTCCTGCCCAGCCAGGGGCTCAGGGCACCTCGTGCAGAGCTGCCTGGCTGCAGGAGGGGGCCCTTCTCCTTCAGCTACAGCTCCCTGCTGAGGACAGAGCAGCATGTCTCTCCCAGCTGATAGAAGTCCAGATGGCCCTGAATCAGTGCTTGTCTTCATTATCTATCATTCCTCTGATTTTTGTGCCCTCTGCAAACTTATCAGTAAAGACTTTTTGTTTTTGTCCAGGTCAGTGGTAAAAATGTTAAGTAGTGTAAGGCTCCCTACCCCCCCACTGACAACACACCCGCTTACTGGCAACTTTTTACAGTGACATATCAAGATCTACTAGCCAGTTTTTAATCTGTTTAATGTGTTCATGTTGATTTTAAATTATTTTAGCTTTTTAATCAGAATGGTGTATGATACCAAGTCAAAAGCCTGAGAGAAGTCTAAATATATAACCTCAACAATAATATCTTTATCAACCAAAACTATAATCTCATCCACAAATATAACGAGTTTGTTTGACAGGATCTAGTTTCCATAAACTTATGTTGATTTGCTTTAATGTCATTATCCTCCTTTAATAATCAAGTACCATACTAGCCACTCCATGATTTTGCTTCCATCTCCCCCATCCTCTAAGTTAGAGGGGAGGAATTGTTGTTAGAAGGGAGGTCATGGCTGCACTACACCTGAAGGAACCTATCTGCCATGTGGGGAAAGCCCACACACCTGCACAAAGAAGCTAACTATCACATGGGGGTATCCAGTAACATGCAAGATTTCCCTAAATCTTTGGATAGCTGTGCATTTTAATGGCTGTCTGTTTTCTCTGTGCAGTTAAGCCAATGCACCCCTAGTTGGCATGATGTATAGTGAACTCCACAAGCTGATGTTGTAACCATTTTGAAAGATGAAGCAGTATTACATTCTAAGGTTTTTTTTCCTAAGTTGGACTTTTTAAATTTCTTGTCCTTTAACAAAAGTAAAGTAATTCATTTCTGTTTTTCAGAAAGCCCAGCAGGGCTGCTGTTCACATCTGCTTTTGAGGATACCAATGAAGCAGAAGTTATTCAAAGTAAAACCTTAAGGAAGAGACATAAAAGTGCTATGGAACCTGACCTGAAACAGATGTCCTGGGGAAGCAGGAATCGTAATCTGAGTGGTGATGCGTTGATGGGGCTTGTGATCAATAGAATTAACCAAAATGAGGACCCTGGAGATATTGTTGAAAAATTAGGCGCTGATGCAAAAATACTATCTAATGTATTCCAGAAGAGCATAAGGCCAAATAGTCTTGACATCAGGAAATCATCTTTAAGATCTAAGAGAGAGAGTCTGGAGAAGGAATCTAGTGATGAAGATGCACCTTTCTATGGCAGTTTTGCAGATAAAATAGAGTCTCCTGTTATCTTTGAATTAGAAGACTTAGATGCTGAACCTGACATAGCCAGAACAGTAAAGTTATCTACTAAAAAACCTAAGACGCTACAGCGTAATAGTAGCTTTCTGATAAAACCAGTTGAAAAAACAGATGTGGAAACTGGATTTGATCCCCTTTCGCTCCTGGTTGCTGAGACAGAGCAACGGAAAGAAGATGATGAAGACGATGATGACAAAAGCATTTCAACACCATCTGCAAGGCGCGATTTAGCTGAAGAAATAGTGATGTACATGAACAACATGAGCAGCCCCTTGACAAGCCGTGCACCAAGCATTGACTTGCAAAAAACATACGATGACAAAAATGTTAGTAAAAAGAGTCCAACGGTCACCCAGTCGTGCAGACGATCCAGCCTTCCTCCAAACTCTCCCAGGCCAGTGAATCTTACCAAATCTAAAAGTTATCACATGAAAAATGAAGAGAGGCCAAGGGACAGGCTTTGGTCCTCTCCGGCTTACACACCAAACAGTCCAGCAAGGGAACAATCACAGGACATGGCTGGTGCATTGACTCTAGTGTCTCCACCTTCATTCAACTTGGATACGCTATTAACACCTACATTTGATGTTCTGAAGAGCAGCGTGTTTTCTGCTGGGAAAGGGGTTGCAGAGAAAGCCAGCAAGTGGTATTCAAAGTTTACTACGTATGCTGCATCCTCAAAGGTAACTTTCACAATTACTTGGAGATTTTTCAGAAGATACATTTCTATGAAGAAAGGACATGAATTGGTAGAGGTTGAAACACTGAACATTGCGTTGGAAAAGTCCTAATTGGCTGACATACATCAAAGCAGAGTATATGCACAATATCCATTAGTTGGATTCACAGGCCATTTTCGTCACATTTCACTGTCCATAGGATTTTTTAAATTATGAATCTTGTTATTTCAGCTATTTAAATCTGAAATGGCAGTGTTGTGATTGTAGGGATTCTGACCCAAATGGAGTTGTGGGGAGGGGTGTGCATCCCACAGTTACTGGAAGGGGGTTTATGGTATTGCTAGTCTTACTTCTGTGTGCTGCTGGTGACAGCGCTGCCTTCAGAGCTGGGCAGCTGGAGAGTGGTAGCTGCTGGCCAGGATCCCAGCTGTGAAGGCAGAGCTGCTGCCAAGAGCCGCACAGACCTAAGGAAAGTATGATATGGTGTTGCCACCCTTCTGTGCTGCTACTGGCAGGCTGCTACTCTCTGTCCAGGCAGCCCTGAAGGCAGTGCAGATGTAAGGGTGGCAATTCCGCAGTCCCTCTGCAACTCCGTTTTGTGTCAGGACCCTGAATTTGAGAAACACTTTTCTCCCCGTGAAATCTCTTTAGTATAGGGTAAAAATGCACAACAGACCAGATTTCTTGTGAGGAGACCAGATTTTCTGGTCCGTGGCACAATGTTCATGGCCATGAATTTGATAGGGCCCTGTCCATTAGTGATGAAATGAGATTTAGTGTGCTGGATCATACTATTATTCAATTAAATGCAATGATTGACATTTTCAAAGCAATTGAAGGTCCTAGACATTCTGACAGTCAACCGCAACTACAGATTCAGTGTGTATTCAAGTAATTATAGTATTAGCAGTACTAGCCTCTCATTTTGTGCACCAGAGGTGTCTGGGGATGTAATAAAATTAGCATGCTGTGCCTGGGAAAGAGAGCAGATTTGAGAACTCTTGTCAATTAAGAAGCAATATTCATGGGTTTGGAAGAGCATCTGATTCATTCAGCTGCCAGAAGGATGGTGTCTTTAAGGGGTTTGCTTTGCATATTAGGGGGAATTTAATGTGAAGTAAAATAGGGGATTCTTGAGCATTTTCACTTAGGCTTAGCTGGCTCAAGCACAGAAAAATTCTTAGTAGTTATTGCTCAGAACAGATATTTTTTTCCTCTGTAGTGTAATCTTTTACCTCTACAGAGGAGGCTGTGAAGGCTAGGACTGTAACAGAGTTTAAAGAGAAGCTAGATAATTTCATGGAGGTTAGGTCCATAAAATGCTATTAGCCAGGGGATAAAATTGGTGTCCCTGGCCTCTGTTTGTCAGAGGCTGGAAAAAGATGGCAGAAGACAAATCACTTGATCATTGTCTTTGGTCCACTCTCTTTGGGGCACCTGGTACTGGCCACTGTCGGCAGACAGGCTACTGGGCTAGATGGACCTTTGGTCTGACCCAGTACGGCCGTTCTTATGTTCTTATCTTTTAATAATGTTACTTGGGAACAAGATGTGTGTGTTTTCCCCATCAGACTAGAATACATACAACTTTTATTTAATATGTGTCTTTATGGTACAGGATAAGAGTCACTCATGGAAAAGATTCTTTGATCTTTATTTTAGAGAAGAAAATGAAGGTATGTCCATCATAAGCAAGACCTCAGATAATTCAAATTAACTTTGAAATGTACATCTCATGTACAGTATTACAGTCACTAAACCCTTTACTTTTTATATAAAATATCTTAAATATCTTTGCACCTGGGAAAATACTTTTTCAAATAGTTTGAATGATGCAGTATTTTTATATAGCGAATATCTTTTATATTTGTCAGTTTAAAAGCCACTTCTGTCTGTCTTAAAATGAACAGCAACAATCCAAAGAAAAATAGATCCAGTGTTACTTGAAAAATGAAAGTCATCTTATGTTCATTAATTAGGTGACTTGAAGTTGTATCTTCATGAGAACTGTTCTGTTGGAATTCCCACTCACGTTGTCACTGGCTGAACTTGTATCAGTAATAGAAACAGTGGAAATGCTCCCAACAAATGCTGGGGATCTGACCGAAGGATTTTTTTAAAAAAAGCCCATAGAGATCTACTAAATCCTGAATAAAAACTAACTTATCTTTTATATATAGATAGGTTGTCAGTACAATTCTTGAGCTGAACTATTTATCAGGGAGAAATACTTGGGCATCCAGCTTCTTAAAAGTATGTTTTATTTTAGTATATCTTTCAGACATGTTTTCTTTACCTTTCCGAGCATAGAAAATAACAATATCACTGTTTCTTTGTAGGATCAAAATTCAGACCGAGCAAGTGTTTCATCTCTTGGAGTCCTGGATTCAGAATCTACCTCTCTAAATGATGAAGATATCTGCAATGACTTTGAAGATACTTCTTCTCCTCAAGAGAACAATGACACCTCAATAAATAAGGGAATTGGTCTAAGCAGGACAAGCCTAGAAAGTTCATCTTCTCATGATGGCTCATCCAAGCAATTTTATCCCTGTGGTAAGAGGCTTTTTATATATTTTAATTAACTTTGTAATCCCTTGCTCAAAACTGTAGAGGTAAAAGCTGTGGTTTCTCTTCATAAATTTTGCTCATAATTTGGGATCACGTTTGATACATTAGCTCTTTTTGTGAGGGGAAGTAACTTTATTCAAACTACTACTCACTGCATATATTTCCCCAACCAGGTGTGTTCTTATTGCAGCTCATTGAGAAAGAGATGTTGTGTGTTTACACAGCAGCTAGTACATTGGGGTTCTGATCCATCAGTGGGGAGTACAATTAGTAATAATAATAAAAATATATTAATGAACTTTATTGATTCCTGGAGTTGATCTTCTATACCTCCAGCATCTTCAATGACTAAGAAAGACAACTGCAGCTTATATAATCCTCTCATAGTTGAAAGGTGAAAAGGTCTTCAAGTTTTATTATTTGGTAGCTCATTTTATTCTTCTTGGGTTTGCTGTTTACTATTACTATTAAGAAACAAAAATCCTTATAAAAAGTAACATTGTGGTGTTCTTTGAGCTATTTGCTCACGTGCATTTCAATAGCTGTGTGTGCACGTTGTATGAATGATGGTCGAAAGGTTTTCCCTTTAGCAGTACCCATCAGGTTGGCTGTGGAGACTCCTGGGGTGGTGCCTTCATGTCATGGTATATAGGTCACTGCTGTCACACTGTTCTGTTCACTCCATCTGGGGCATCTGGCATTGACCTCTCTTGGAAGACAGGATACTGGGTTAGATGGATCTTTGGTCTGACCCAGCATAGATGTTCCTATGACTAGACTAGACACCCTGGAGGCTGCCAGGGTCTTATTGTCATCATAGTGCACTCCCCAGCACAGCATGCGAGGGCACAGATGTTGACTCAGGCATGAGCACCAACCTCTGCACCACCATCACTGCCAACACTGTCCCGGTGATTTTCGTGGCATCTCAGAAGTACTGGTATTCCAGCACTGAGGCAAGCCTGTGATGATGTGGCACTGATCCCCTTTGCCATGTGACCAGCTGCCAGCATTGTTGGCCTCAGCTCCACCATGTTTGGACTCTGACTACTCATCATACTTGGGCAAGGCGTTGTTGGCCTTCAAATGAGTTAGTACCAATCTTGATCCCACCTTCGCTTTTGTCATCTTAGCTCGTGAGACGTGCTGTCATCAATGCCATACTGGCCACAGCAGTGGCAGGTGCCTGTCCAGTGGCCTTTTTGGATGCCTTGGGCCTAACACCAGGCTCAGGGGCAGATCTGTAGGCCCACATCTATGGCATCCATGCATCACCCTCTGCCATGTCTGAGGGAGGAGGGAGACTCACCCGCTCAAAGGGAACCAAACTTGGCACCTAGGCTCCATCTTGCAGAGCCACTACCCAGTGTTATGCCGGCACCATAGGCTGTCATGGCAGCAGCGCTCATGCCTGTGCCAACCTCCAGGGAGTACAAGTGAGACCCATTCCCAAACTATGTCTACACTACCAGGTGATTTTGAAATAATAACTCCCGAAATAACTATTTTGAAATAAGCTTATTCCTCTTCACAAGCAGGAGTTCTTATTTCAAAGTAACAGGGTTGGTAGAGTGGATGCTCGCTTGTTATTTCAAAATAATTCCCCAGTGTAGACATGCCCCCAAGGGCCTTTTGTCTTTGCCACCTGACTAGATGGTAGCTAGTACATCCCCTTTGATGTTCCTGGCAGCGGACAGTAAGTGTGACCAGGACACCAGTCCTGCCTCTCCCTGCGTTATTGCTGTGCCCCCACCCTGCCCTTGCTCCACCTCTCCCCAGCAGTCCCTGGAGTGGTGCTGCTGGGGAGTGGCATTGTGTGGGCTGAAGTCGTCTGGCCTGCACCTTCCATCGCTACTGCCGGTGAGGGGAGGGAGGGAGGGTTGCACTGCGCAGCACAGGTTCCTGCTGTCAGCTCCTGGCCATACCACCTCGAGGGTGCATGTGGCCCTGCAAGCACTCCCCCCCACATTTCTCACCAGTGTCTGGTGGCCTATGACACAGAATTTGCATCTTCAGGCTGAAGAGGTCATAGAAAATGCGGATCCCATAGGGGACATACTTGCCCAAGAGGATCTCCCTAGAGTGGTTTTATTCTTGATAAAGACTACTCAGAATACCACAAAGGTGTTCTGGCAAACCCTGGCCTCCATACTGCCCATGCCCAAGAAGCTTGAGAGGTGGTACTTTGTGCCACAGAAGGGGTACAAGCACTTTTTCACACACACCCAGACCAGTACCCTAGTGGTTGATGCTGCTAACCACAAAGAGCAGCAGGGTCAGCCAGAGCCTGTGCCCAAATCAAGGAGCTAGACCTGATTGTCCACAAGGTCTGCTTGACAGGGACCTGCAGCTTCGAGCAGGTAATCAGCAGACAGTGTGGATCTGTGAATACTTGGAGTTCCCTTGCCAGATTTCAGGAGTGTCTCCATGCTGACTCCTGCCAGGAGTTCATGGCATGAATTGAAGAGGGCAAGGTAATCTCTGGGACCTTCCTTCAGGTGGCCCCAGACTCTGCAGCCTGCACTATGGCAGTTACTATCACCATGAGATGCTCTCATGGTTACAGGTCTTGGGCATAACCTCAGAGGTCCAGAGTACTCTTCAGGTCCTGCCCTTCAACTGTTCAGGCTGTTTGCAGAGAATGTGAACTCCTGTTTGTACTGCTTGAAGGACCCTAGGACAACCCTGAAATCCCTGTGGATCCACACCCCTGCACCCCCAAGGAAGCCTTTCAAGTCCCAGCCCGGTTCTATTCCAGGCTGCCCAGAAATGGCTTCAGATAGAGGTGCAGAAATAGCAGGAGGCATCAGTCTCACTTCTCCTCCAGCAAGGGCCAGGGTCCTCTAAACAACCCCCAGGGCTAAAGCCCAAGTTTTTGTAGGTGTGCCTGAGGACGGAGCACCAAAACCTGAACTAGATCCCTTCCCTTTTGTGAACTAGTTATCCCACTTCTACCGTGCTTGTACCCAGAATACCTCAGACCGCTAGGTCTTGAGCATCAACCTTCCCTGTGCCTCTTCAGGGACCCTTCTCTTGAGCAATACTGTTTACACAAGGGGCAATTTCTTCTCGCTGTAAGGGAGATAGAGGAGGTACCTCAGGAATTATGGGGAAGACGGTTCTGCTCCTGATATTTTCTTATCCCGAAGACCAAGGGCAAGGCCGGGCTCAGGCCCATTCTGGACCTGTGAAACCTCAGTGCCTTTATAAAAAGGCACAAGTTTAGAATGGTCTCCTTAGCCACCATCATCCCTTCATTGGCTCCGGGGAACAGGTATGCTGCCCTCTACCTGAAGGATGCATACTTCCATATATCACAACACACAGGAGATTTCTCAGATTTGTGGTTGCTGGCCACCATTGCCAGTTCACTGTGCTCCCATTTGGCCTCTTGATGGCCCTCTTCCCCCCCACCCTAGGTATTCATGAAATTCGTGGCAATCATTGTAGTCTTCCTCCAGAAGCCAACCTGACAGGTACTGCTAAGGGAAAATGTTCTGATGATTGTGCATGAACACGTATTAGAATTCACATCTTGTTCTCTGCTTCTTTTATCCATGCAGAGACCAAGACAGGCATTTTAATGAATTGTGTCTAATCTTTGGGGGAGATTAAATGGTTGGTTTTTATTTATCATGACATTATGCAGAAATCTGTAGGTTAAAGTACCCAATTTTAACCACAACCAGACTGAGAGAAAGCATGGTTTAGTAAGGAAAATAGGCTCTGGCAGTCAGGAGACCTGGGTTCTCTTTGGGACTATGCCACTGACTCATGGACCAAGTCATTTCATGTCACCTTTTTGTCCCCGCAAAAACCAAACTGTATTTATTTAACCTCTTCTGGTGAGAAATATCTGTGTCTTTGGAGAGTAGACAGTAGGGGGCTTCAAATATATTTCATGGAATTCTGCTGTTGGCTTCCCAGGAATGGACCTAGGAGACAGAAGTTCATTGCTGTTTCTGGAGTGCAGGTGTGAGAGTATGGGGCAATCGGGGAACTGACGCATGGAAGGGAAATGGATTTATAGCAGGAATTAATTTATCACTTTAAGAAGTCAAGAGTTAGGCACCATTACTGTTCCTTTGGAGTAAGGTGTGTGCCTGGATGACAGGCATACCAAGGCTGTGGGAGGTGAAGACTTCACAGCATACTCTTAGGGGGTTGGGTTCTATTGGGGGGTGATCATACTTTTCCTTTTTAGTAAAAATTGTAAGAAACCGCATTTCAACCAAAACAATGTAATCCTCTTCCCATTCTACCATTTGACTGTTTGTGCAGACATGCACATGTACGTTGCTATTAGTAATTGTCAAGTTATTGCTGACTGAATTATCAGGGTGGGGTTTTTTGTTTAATACCTTAGAGAGATTTTAGCTCCCTGTACTTCATTTCCCCATCTGTAATGGTAGTTCTGTCTAGTTGCTTCTGTAGAAAAATCTTTCATCCCTCCTTAGCTTTGATTTATACAGGAACCACATGAATTGCTTCACCAGAACCTGTTCCTAGCTACTAGCTTGTTTCTTTCATAGTATCTACATATGTTGGATTTCCATGCTTGGCAACTCAGTTATCCCCTGCTGTTGGCCTCAGGCAGGCAGCAGCCACTGGCCCTGTCTTAGCAACTCATTCTGTTCAACAGCATCTCCAGTCCTTCTGTAGCTCCCTAAGCATATTTTAATATGTAAAGACCAATGTTGATTCTGTTTTAATTTGTATTCTGTAATAACAAGTATTTTCTTTTATTTGCTTATCATCAATTTATAGGTTCTCTTTCAAAGTTCCCCTTGCCTGACAAGTCAGAGTTGATCTCTTCTTGCAGCACAAGCAGCACCAGTGTGTTTCAGAACTATGCAATGGAGGTATAGTATGATGTATTTTGCTATAGTATCTTAATTTGGATAGCAATGTTTGGTATGTATTTCTTAGATACATTATTTTGTCTTTACTTGAAATATATTCCAAATAAAGACAAAATGCCACTTTAAACTCCGTTAACTCCTAGTTAAAGACTCAGTATAGAAGAAATTGGTAATTGCTTTCAATTACAAAGCTTGAACTCCTCTTTAAAAGTGTCTTGATTACTCTCACGGTCCCTTCGTTTAGAATAAAGGATGGGAATTTTCAAAGGAGCCTAAGGAAATTAGTTGCCATAGGATTTGAGCATCCAAAAGCAACAGTAACACATCTTAAACAACTCTTGTCAGTCTAAAAATTATTCTTTCTTTTCATGGTAACTGTGTAATTTTAGGGGTTTTTTTGTTTGTTTGTTTGTTTGTTTTCCTTGAGTCTTTGTCTACACCAACCCTGCTGTGAGTATGTATGTCCCCTGCACGTGATCCTGGAACCCTTCAGCCAGAAGTGCTGGTTGGGGCCACACATGCATCCTATACACCCTCACCCCTCCTACAGGGAAGAGATGAAGGTGAACATTCAGTTTCTTCTCTCTACCCATGGCAGTTAGTTGCCACCTGCTGACCAGATTGTCTAAGATTTCCTATTCATTCTCACTTCCTCCCTCTTGAGTTAGGGCATGTTTTACAGCAGTGGTCTCCAACCTTTTTACACCCAAGATCGCTTTTTAAATCTCCCAACAGGCGAAGATCTACCACCCTGCCCCTTCCTTGAAGCCCTGCCCCTTTCTTGCCCACCCTCTCTATTCTCCTCCTGTCCATCATTTGCTATCCCCAGCCCTTACTTACACACTCTGATAAACAGTTTATTTTTAAATTATGCGATGTATAAAATTAAAATAACGTGTTTATAGTTATGAAATAAATGGACTGTTTTTATTCATGCTATTTAAATCTAAAATGAAGCATTTATAATTATACATTTTTGTGGGGACGGAGTTCTACGGCTGGGGGCAGGAGAGAGGGAACAGGGTGCTGGGAGGGCAGGGGACAGGGTTCTGCAGCAGGGGACAGAGTGCCAGTGGGGACAGGTTTCTGCAACTGGGGACAGGGTGCCAGTGGGGACAGGAATAGGGACAGAGTTCTGTAGCTGGGAACAGAGGAGTGGGAACAGAATTCTGTGGCTGGGGACAGGGGAGTGAGGACAGAGTTCGGGAAGTGGGGAACAGAATTCTGTGGCTGGGGACAGGGGAGTGGGGAAGAATCCCCTGCATCTGCCTCCTCCCAGGATTCCTCCCCCCCAGAGGGAAACCAGCACATGCCTGCCCTGGGGCCGACTCCCCCGCCCCCGCGCAGGGAAGCCCCAGGCATGCGCGCCTGCCCCAGGGACAACTCCCCTGCATGCACCGGGAAACCCCATGCCTGCCTTCCCCAGGGCTGACTCACCCCTCCTGTGCGGTGCAGGGAGCCAATGCTCCCTCCCTCAGTACACCCGGCAGAGCAGCTAGCGCTACTTCCAGAATCGCCGGAAGTGGCGCTAAGCTGTGGGACTTCTGTCCATCCCCGGAAAGCCGACACTACCTCCATTTTCACTAGAGGTAAGTAGTGGGGCTTCTCGGGGGTGGGAGGGAAATGGGGGCGGGGCGGACAGGATGCCTCGCAATCGACTGGTCGAGGCCTCGCGATCGACCTGTTGGTGACCACGGTTTTACAGGGACTCCGTTGACATCTGTAGTTTGCGATAGGAGAGACCCTATTTCTGAGATCTGGGATGATTATTTGGGATTTAATTCATATATTTACCAAACACCAACATCATTGTGGCAGCTTCCAGATCTGTTTAGCAGAGCTGTCCTAAACTTGTTACTAGATAGGACTCCTGTCATCCACCTGTCTGAGAGAGAACTACTAATCATTCACTTACCATGCAATCTTTGTGGACAAATACTCAAAGATGAGTGTTATTTTCCTATTGTAGCTGGAGTTCTTGGTAAGGCTTTAGTCTAGGTAGATCTCAGAACCCACCTATCTTCTTTCTCAACTGATATAAAGCCCTCACTTGGATTTCTGAATTACTAAAGGCACTGAGTGGTAATTAAGGCTGCTGCACCATTTATACTTTGGATGTAAGGATGTGCAGCTCCCACAGACACCTCTGGCTGTCCTAGGTTTGCTCAGATGGGGTGCACACACTGATAGTGGGATCCAGGTGGCCAATGGTCACTTACAATAACTGGAGTTATTTGAACAAGTAACTTCTCTTTATTGATGCTGAAAGAATACTTAAGGTGTAATTTATTTGAATTCTACTGCCATTTATACACTTTCTGCATTTCACTGAATTGACAATGAAAATAGATGAGTTACTTTTCTCTAGTAAGTTTTGTTTTAGTTCTCATGTACTAGCCATTATTGCAGGAGAATGTTTAAATTCAAGCAGTTATTTATTTTGTTACTTAAATTAGAATAATTTGCCTTTGTTTTGTTTTGCTCAACAAATCCTACCTTTTAAGCCTAAACAACTTATAAGTCACTTTAGCAAACTGGTAACAAAGCTTGCATTATTATTCTAGACATCAGTATTTGCAAGGTTTGAGCTATTCTGGTAGGCCAGTAAGAAGGGAAGCCAACAAATTCAGCTAAAATGTATTTGTGTACTGCATGATCAAGTTAATTCAGTCCCTATTTTGTTTATATCCACCCCAGTCTGTTTATATTACTATAGACCTGAGTCTTCACAAACTCATTCTTGCAAGTAATTAATTCCTCCGAGATGCATCATCATTCATTCCATCATTCACTTCTGTTTTCACCCTATGACACTGATGTGTTCATTGAAGCATCAACTGAAAACTAATGTACTTGAATTGAAACTTCATACTAATGTATTGAAATACATAAATTCAGGCCAAATTTTTCATTCTTGGGTGTTTAAAGTTAGGTAATTTGTGTTATTTTAGGTGCTTAAATATAAATTCCTGTACTAAGCCTTTAAGGCACCTAAGCATGAACATTTTGGTCTTAGTCTGTTCTTTTCCATGAGGTGTGGTGGTGGTGGTGTTGTTGTTGTTACATAAGAGCAAAGCAGTTGAAGCCCCTGTAGAGCTCCTCCTCTTAATTAATTACTCTATACAGGTACTCATCTCCAGCTGTTCGCGATGTCGAACTTGTGACTGTCTGGTTCATGATGAAGAAATCATGGCAGGATGGACTGCAGATGATTCAAATCTCAATACTACATGTCCCTTCTGTGGCAACCTATTCCTGCCCTTTTTGAATATTGAAATCCGAGATCTGCGGCGACCTGGGCGGTAATTATGTTATTTCTTCCTCAAGGTTTTATGTGCTCAAATTTTTTTTTTTTTTTTTTTTAAAAAAAGCTTTCTAACATCACATTAACACATCGTTTCCTCATAGGTACTTTCTGAAGTCCAGTCCTTCTACAGAAAATATGCAGCTTGCATCACCTTTTTCAAATCAAACAGGAAAATCCTGTATCTCTACTCCCACATCAGGTCTTGCCACATCTGTAATGTCCGTTCAAGATAATTTTAATCCAAAATGGTAAATGTGCATTTTATATTGACTGACACTTTACTTGAAATAACTAGAGGGCATGCATAAGTTCATAACCAGTGGAAAGAAATTTAATTAAAAAGAGATTAAAATGTGAAAAGATAGAAGAAAAGTCTCTTTAACATGAGGATCTCCTTACTGTTTCTTGCTTTCCCATGTGAATTAGAGATTTGTCAGTTTTATGGGTTAACTGTTTCCATTCCCTCCCTGTAGTAGAAAGTCACTGACAATACTTCCATAATCCGGCAGTAGTCCCTGAATGGAGTCAGTATCCATCATGGTTTTCTCATATCATGCTGCTGTGCAAAAATCATATTTCTTCTGATGGTGTTTCTGTTCCTTGCAAGGAAAGAATCTCTTGTCTATGGCATAGGTAGTGTGGTTGGCTGGATGGAATTTGAGGTGCCACTCAGGGTCTGGGGTTCTCAATCATAACGAGGGTCGAGATCCAAACAGTAGTGGGCCATTAGGTTTTCGTTGTACATCTTTGTACACCTGCATGTATGAACACTAAAAGAAATATGAAATATAAAAGCTAGTCTTGTTTGTAACCATATGTTTTCTAGTAAATCTAAACAGCAGGACAGTTCTTGTGCCCGAAGTATCCAAATCCCTTCAGGACGAAGACAAAATATGACTGGGTCAGAATGTCCAAGTCACGCTGTAGCAAGAAGTGTCAGTACTTATGGTCCACTGGAAGAGGTCGAGAAGGGAAGCCGGAAGCTCAGCCATATTGTTCCCACTGGCAGCCTGCCCACTACTCTGCAAGGAACTACAGTATGTAGTGGTTTGTTTCTAATTTAAGCAACAGTGTTTGAAACTTGCCCTACAGATTGAACCTCTCTGGTCCAGGGCTCTCTGACCCGGCAACATCCGCGGTGTGGAAGAACCATGGATGTTGGGGGACTAGAGAGCCCCAGCAGCAGAGGTTGCAGGTGGCTGAGTGGAGCCCACGGGGCAACAGGGCAAAGAAGCCGGCGGGGAGGAGGAGCAGAACTTGCGGGGCAGTGGAGCCCGCAGCCAGCAGGGCTGCTGGGAGCTCTGGCAGGGTTGCTATGAGGCCGGTGGGGCCACCAGGTGCTCCGGTAGGGAAGCGAGGCTGTCACAAGGTTGGCAGGGCCATTGGGAGTTTCAGCAGGGCTGCTGGAAACTCTGGCAAGTCTGATGCAGCTTGTGGGACCAGGAAGTCAGCAGGGCTGCTGCAGCTTGCAGGGCTGGGAAGAGGAGCCCAGCAGGGAGGCTGGCACCCACTCTCTCAGACCTTTCCTGGTTCGGCAAACTCCCTGGTCTGGGACCAGTCAGGTCCTGAGGGTGCTGGACCAAGGAGAATTCAGCGCATAGAATAGTATTAATGTCCACTGAAATCATCTTCCTAAGTTACAATCAGAAATAAATCTCATTAATTTAATTTGAACTAAAGTTAATTTCAGCATGTAGACTTTGGTATTTCTGGAAGGGAACAATTAACATTCAGACATTTTTTATAAAAATCGCTACATTTAATAACTTCTTTTCTTCCTTTTTTACAATAGGATTCTTTGGGACTAGAATGGCATTTATGTAGTCCTGACCCCATCACTGTTCCTTACCTAAGTCCTCTAGTGGTATGGAAAGAGCTTGAAAGCTTGCTTGAAAATGAAGGGGATCGTGTGATAACAGTGGCAGATTTTGTAGACCATCATCCTATCGTGTTTTGGAATCTAGTGTGGTATTTCAGGCGTCTGGATTTGCCTAGTAACTTACCAGGACTAATACTTTCTTCTGAGCACTGTAATAAAAACTCAAAGGTATGGGAAAAGATAGGGCAGTATTAAATTATGATAATAACTTGAATGTTCGTTTTTCAGGAATTAATTTGATTCTATAGCCTTTATGTATTAATAGCTCTTGTGCCAGTGCTTACAACTAACTGGGCCCAATCTTCAGTTTCAGTAAATTATCACTTCATTTACTTTAACTGGCCTAGTGTATTTCCGTACCTTAACTCTTGAACTGAGATGCAGCGGTGCCTGTATTGGTGTAGTACACTACTGGTGTCTGCTTCAATGAAGTTTGGTGTGCTATTCCAACAACAAGATACTTTACAACTCAGGTTTTTTATTATTTCATGGAAGAGAAAAAGCTTAATGGAATGGGGGTTGGGGGATGAAGATGTTGATTATGGAAAGGTATGGAGGAGAATAAACCCTTCAGGCCTTGTTGCAGAGCCCTGGGCTTTGATCATTACCAACATCACCAGTATCCAAACTATAATGGGAAATGGTGGTTTTGCTATAAACAAACCAATTTACGGTGGATTAGATTAAAGCTGTTTTCTTCTAAACTACTGGTCTGATGTATATCCATTAAAATGTGAAAGCCAGCTCTTATAACCATGTCATCAAAGTGTTATGATGTTCAAAGGCTTATGTATTAATCTTTCTATTCAGATTCCACGAAACTGCATGTCAGAGGACAGTAAATATGTTCTCATTCAGATGCTATGGGACAATATGAAGTTGCATCAGGATCCAGGACAACCCCTGTATATTCTGTGGAATGCACAGAGTAAGTTGTTTATTTAAAAACGAAAGTCATTTTTTTTAGCAACTAACAAACATATTTTGAAAAGAGATCTCTTTTGTCATTTTAGTTATCCTATATAGATATGCAATTGATTTTTGATCAAACCACTTTCTTTGTCTTGCAGGTCAAAATCGTACTCTTTTGTTTGAGAGTGAGTGTTCTGTTTGGTGTTGCTATTGCTAACTTTTTTGTGTGATTTATTTATATTTTTGGTGTGTGGGTGTGTTTTACAGTAGATTTTAGCTTCCAGCATACTGCTTCAGCAAGTTTTGTTTTCCTGTATAAATAGGTTGCCATTTCCAATCAATGTTTCCTATGGGAGAGAGGAATAGTAGCATTGTGCTTAGTGATTCACAAAACTTGTACAGTGGTTTTTACAAAACATTTCAATAAATCCATCCATTTAGCCTCTTCTTATTTTAGATTTTTTTTTAACTAAGTACTTGATTGCTACTAAAAGACCTACTAATGGTCATTAATCCCATTTATGGCGATTTCTTTTTGCTTGTCTTATATATTCCTATTCTGTTTCTTTACCTTGATATTGTTCTGACTTGATGCTTCTTTCTTATTATTTTTGATAACTTATTGAGTGTATCCACATGTTTATAGCCTTCCATTGTTTTTGGTTTTCTCATATCATGCTCCTATACTAAAAACATAATATTCCTATGGTGTTTTTCTTTGGCAGCCCAAAAGTATCCAGTGGTCCATTTATTGCAAAAAGATGATGACTCCTTTAACCAGGATCTCTTGAGAAGCATGGTGAAAAGTATTAAGATGAATGATGTCTATGGACCAATGAGTCAAATCTTAGAGCGATTAAACAAATGGCCACAGATGAAAAGACAGAGGTAAGAATATTCATGTGTCAAATTGAAGAAAGCTTTTGCAATAAGCACATATCTCAGTATGCACAGTATGTTCAGAGGTTTATAACCATTCAAGCTTTTCCGCAATGTTCTCTCAAGAGTATATACTAAATATGGTCAACATACCAAAAAAAAAAAAAGATGCTATTGGGAAAAAAAAAACATTTTTAAAAATACTTTCAATTTCTTAATTTCATTCCATATTTTCTAGAAAATTTTTGGGTGGGATTTGGTTGATTTCTTTTGGCTTTTTTGGAGGGTGTGTTGTGGAGGTGTTTTGGTTTTGTTTGACAAACTGCAAGAATTTTTGTTTCACTTCATATTTTTAATTTTGAGATTTTTTTCTCACTTTCTTTTATTCCTTTTATTTATTTATTTATTGCTTTTCTTCCTTTTTTTAATACTTGAAAGTACATAGGAGTCTTAAAGAATTAAAATGTTGCTTAGTTTCACCTCTTACACCTTTCTCCTTCACTTTTGCAGTGAAAAAGCGGGGAAAGTAAATAAGTGAGAGACTAGGAGGGGGGAAAGAAATGAGATTTTTTTTTTTTGAGTGCTTGTTCACGTTGATTCCAATTCAGTGTGTGCACACATGTGCGCACAGTAGCTGGAAGATACTTACGCTAGCAACAAGCCATAGGGTTAACTTGGGCATCCCTTGGAGTCATGCCTTCATGGCACCAAATATAGAGCCCTGCTCACATCTGCAGAATCATTGGTACTGCACAAGGTGAGTAACTTCTTCATCCCTAGTAGCTGGAACTTTCCCTTGCTCTTCTCTTGTTTTGGCAAATGAATCAACATTTCTTTAGCCAAAGACATAGTTTCTAGTAGTTGTTATAGTTAGTATAGTAGTTCTTATAAGTTTCAGCTATGGGAGCCCCTCCCCTTTTTTCTTTTTACTCCATTTGTCACTGGGGCATTTGTGATCCTTGGGCTTTAATACTTGTCAGACTTGCACAAAGCGCATACCTAAAAGTGACCCTCCCCACTTCATGCTTACAGTGCTCGGGTGAAGATCATCAAAAGGACCACTGCAAGATTTGTCAGGAATTTTGACCAAGAACCATTAAGAAAAGAGCAGCCATTCAAAATGCTCCTTATGGAAACTGCCCTACAGTGTCAGTCAGACCTGTGCACCAGGGACCCCTCTCACCACATCCTCCTTTGTGCCGAGTGCCCCAGCACCATCATTGTAAGAGCCACCAAAGAAGGACGCGGGCAAAGACTGGCACCGCCATGGAGCCTCTTGGGAGCACTCTATCTCTCCCGTCTACCCCAGAGGCTTTTGAAGTGGCATAGAACCTACTGAGGCTCTGTGCCATTCTCGTCACCAAGACAGAAAGGTGTCCCGGCACCACAGGCCCCTTGCCTGCACTCCGTGCACTTGAAGGACCAGTTAGCAAAGATGGCACACTGGTCACCATCACGCCAGCACCTGTCTACACCAGTCCTGCCATCTGAGGAGCACAGCAATCCCCTGCTTCTCGATACTCCATGCTGAGAGGAGCAGGGCTAGCATGGTACCTCTGCAGCTATTGTAAGAGCAGAAGATCCTCCTCAGGTCACCATAACCTCCTGCCGCAATACAGTGAGTCTCTCAGTGACCCTTTTGAACTCCATGGGCTTTCCATCAAGCCCATTGGAGCCAAGGGTCTTATTCGGGGCAGCATCAATTGCATCATTCATTGCGCCACAATCAATAATGGAGCCATTACCCAGGACATTAACACCAGCACTTATATTGACCACTTAGCCACCAGAGGCTTCGGTGGCCTGACTGCGGCTTCGGCGCACAACCCCACTGAAGTCATTGGCGCAGACCATGATGGTACCTACCAGGACTCCGGCACACATTCTGCAACAGGAACTGGCACTGGGGTGGAACTTGACACGGGCACCTGTCCCCTCCCAGTACCAGCAACAGTCCCCCAATGTCAAGGGATCCCTCCTTGGGTGAGGATGGTAAGGAATATCTACCTCCTCTGGCAGCCATCTCCTTCTCACCAGTTGAGACATTGATGGGCACTGCAGTAGCATCAGCCTTCGAGAATTCCAGTGTGTTGCAGCAGCTGCTGCATAGGGTTGTCCAGGGGTGGGGCATTGAAGCTGAGGAAGTGGTTGATGATGCTGACCCAATGGTGGACATCCGGGCTCCTTCCTGCCCTTCCCGTATTGCCTTGCTTTTGACAAAGACAGTTACAGTTACGATAAGGCCCTGTGCACACCTCAGCCTTGCTACCACCTACAGCCAAGCACAATGAGCACTGGTACTTTGTGCCCTTTAAAAGCTAAGAAAACCTTTACTCCCACACCCATCCTTAAATGTCTGGAGAAGCAGGGATTTCAGTGCCCTTTGCCCAAAAATAGTGATGCAAAAAAGTGAGATCTCTTTGGGAGAAAGGTCTACTTGACTAGGGCTGCAACTCCAGATATCAAACCAGCTGGCTGTTGTCCATAGGTACTCCTACAATAACTGCTCAGCGATGGCCAGATTTACAGAGTTGCTTCCCTCGTACTCTCGTGCTGCGTTTTCGGCATTGGTTGAGGAAGGGAGACTGATATGAAGTACCTTCAGGTTGCCCTTGATGGGGCAGACACAGCCATCAGTATTACAGTACTCAAGTGGCAGGTTTCTGGCTTCCCCTATGAGATACAGCAAACTACACAAGATCTGCCATTTGAGGGTGAGACTCTCTTCTCAGAGAACTGACAAAAGGCTAAACAGCCTTAAAGACTGCAGAGCCGCCCTCAGGTTCCTAAGGCCTTTATACTCCCACTATGCAGCAGAGACACTTCTCTCTGCAGCCCCAACAATACTTAGGTTAGCAGAACTGCCAAGACCATTCCCAACAGAGAATTGGAACCACAGGAGAAGGACTCGACAACCCTCAGGACAACCCAAGCCATTCTCAGGAGCTAAACTGCTCTTTCGAAGACACGGTCAAGGAAGATGTGCCACACCAGGGTCTGGATTTCCCCCTGCCTTACTTTCTTGTCCTGACGGTCCCCTTTCTACTGGGCATAGTCCAATATCACCTTGGACAGCTGGATACTCTGCACAGTAGAGAGTGGATACTCCATCCAATTCTGTGCCCTCCTGCCTTTCCACAACCCTCTTTCCCAATCCCTCTTCAGAGGCCCTTCTCAAGACTCTTTAATTCAGGAGATGTAGTCACTCGGTTTCTAGTGGCAATGGATGAAGTTCCTCAGGAGTACACGAGTGAGAGTTTCTCTGTATTTCCTAATACCAAAAGCCAAAGGAAGCCTCTGGCCCATGCTGGTCCTGGGAGAATGCAACAAGTTTGTAAAGAAATACATGTTCTTTGTGATCTCCTTGGCCTCCATCATCCCCTCATTGGATCCAGCAAGCTAGCATGCCTGAACTTGAAGGATGCATACTTTCATATCATGATCACTCAGCCCCTTGGGAAGTACCTCAGGTTCATATTGAATGACACCCACTACCAATTCACAATCCCTATGTTTGACCTGTCAGCAGCATCTTGGGTATTCTCCGTCTGCATGGCAGTCATTGCCGTGTTCCTGCACAGACACCAGGGGCAGTGTTTCCATATCTCATCAACTTGCTGAATAGGGGCTGCTCCAGAATTCAGGTGCAGATTGAACCTCCCTGGTCCAGCATCCTCGAAACCTGACCGGTCCCAAACAAGAGAATTTCCAGGACCAGGGAAGGTCCTTTGCCACCAGCCGCCAAACCCATCCTCTGATCAGTACTGCTGGCTCACTACTGCCCCAGCTGGCCACTAACGACAATGTTGCCTTTGGACGAGTCTTGCTGCAGTCAGTGGAAAAACTCTGACCCCAATTCCTGAACTTGGGCTTGTGAGTGACCTGATTGGAATCGACATGAGCAAGCACTCGTCTTCTCTAACTGTTGTTCTTCAAGATGTGGTGTCCATGTCCATTCCAATACCCACCCTCCTTCTCCTCTGTAACAGTAGCTGGAAAAAAGGAACCAAAGGGCTGGCAGGTCAGCAGGACTCTCTAGTGGCCACTATGACGGTGCAACTCCAGGGAGTGCCCAAGATAACCCTATGGGTTGCTACTAGAGGAAATACCTTCCAGCTACTGTGCATGTGCACATGCACACACCTAATTGGAATGGACATGAACAATAGTTACAAAAGATTACTCACCTTCTCTGTTTTATTTAGAAAAAATCTCAACATTTTGAGAATCAAAATGTTTCCATGAAAAATCTTTAATCCTTGGGGGGAAAAAACTTCAGAAAGAAGTTTGAGACAATTTTTTTTTACCATCTAATATCTTTTATCACTAGTTTATTTTGTGTCTGTACTGTATGTGTATGTTGCATTGACTACTGATGCAGATTCCATTGACTTCACTGGGTGTTTGATTAGGCTGTTGGCTTATAAAGGAACATGGATCCTTTTCCATGTTTGAGCACCACACACAGTAGAGGGGTTCAACAAATTATTTTCAAGGTGGCATTTTTTGTCAACAATGTGTTAAAATAGAGTTTACTTATGTTTTTGCATGATTTTTGAATTGTCTGAAGTATTGCTTTCAAATGGTACCATCTTTCAGAGTTAAAATTAATGATTTTTTTTACTTTTTCTAGGAGCCTCTATAGAGAAATACTATTTCTTTCACTTGTTGCTCTAGGAAGAGAGAACATTGATATAGGTAAGTTATAAACTGTATTCAGGTAAATGTAAATTAATAGTTTATACAAAACACTATTTCAGCTTTCAAGGAGAAAATATCTATCTATATCTATTAAGGATGTGATTGTATAATAGGTTAACTGGTGGGGTTGGAGCAGCTCCCTGCCTGCCATCCCATGAAGCAGCCTCTGTCACTCGGTGTTAATGAAAACCACTAAAAATAAGCTTTCCTATTATGTACCTTTACAATAGATAGATATGTATATAAAATAAATACTGTTACAAGGAATGTTCAGCTATTTCATGAAAAGAAGCACAATTATAATATTGGCATAGGGTTTCCACCTGTCTGAATTTTTGCTGGACAGTCTGGTTTATGGCTTCTGTGTGTGGATATACTGTAGGCTTGCTAGCTGCCTGGTTTTCTATCAGAAAATCCAGTCAAAAAGGAGACTTTGCAAATCTAAATAACTCCTAAAACCAAAAATCCGATTACCATGGGGAACGGGGAAGTGCTGGGTCGTTAACCCATGCCAGCCTCTGCTGAGCTGGGGCTGCCTCCTACCTGCAGGCAAGCTCCTTAAGACAATCCAGCAAGCAACAGGGGAGAGAAGGAACAGGAGTCAGTGATGTGATGGGATGAGCAAGTGAGGGGCATGGCCTTGAGGGAAGAGGCTTGGTCTTGGGGGAAGAGGTAAAGCAGGGGTGGAACCTCGGGGATTTGTTTACCAGCAACTAGAAAGCTGCTAACCTTACCTTAGCATCTTTATAAATACAGTACAGTACATCAATTTTCTTTTTCTTTTCTATAGAGGCTTTTGACAGAGAATACAAAATGGCCTATGATCGTCTCACAGCTAATCAAGTCAAGAGTACTCACAACTGCGATAGACCTCCAAGTACTGTTGAGAGAACCATATCTTTAAAATCTAAATATATTTCTATAAATTAATTATATACATGTGTAAAGTAACACTTCAGTCACAGAGAACATCTCAGTCTTCAGTGTTTAAAAACACATTTACAATGTACAGTGTCAGAAGAACTGGACCAATGAACAGTTACAAAAATGGACAATGATGCAAAGAATGGGCCTAATACCACTTTCCCCTCTTTGCTTCACTCTCCAAATCGTTGTGTGGAGTAGGGGACCTTACTAAATCAGCTCTCTAATAAGGGACAACTTTTACAGTCCTTTAAAGAAAACTTGGAGAGGCAGGCAAATATGATGCACTGAAACTGGCATGAGTGAAGTAAATCCTGCAAATCTGTTTACATAGAATATTCAAAATGTTACGAAGAGCATACAAAGCTGTATTATATATATATTTTAAATTGTTTATAGTATGTTGATATTTTTTTAATTTTTTAAATTACTCTAGTGAATTTTAAATGAACTTATTGCATAAGCAATAGAGTGCTCATTTTTTTTCCGCTATTTATAGTAATTGGTCCAACTAGGTTTAGAACAAAATCAATTGTTTTTGAAGTGGTCTGTATATTTCAGCACAGTCTTAAGTAGCATTCTGAAGTCGGTATTTCTCTTGCACTTACAAAACTTGTACTACCATTGCAATCAGATGAAAAGTACGGCAAACTTGTGTAAAACTATACACTCTGACTCTTTATAGTATCTTAATTTCTATAGCAGTCCTCCACAAAATTCTGTAATACATTGAATGATCTCGCGGCTCAAGGAGATCCAACATGCTAACTGTTGGCATTCGCTAATTGAATATGTCTACAGATATATATTACAAGGTGCATAGCAATTAGCATACAAAAATATTGTCACATAAAATGTACAGTGTACAGTCCTCCATATGGGAGTGTAGGTATGTTTGTAAATGCCTTAAATAGGGCACATAGTTCATGCTGGTCCAAAGCTACACTATTTTTTTAAAGTAAGAAATTTGGATATGGCAAATATGCTACATGAAATATATAGGGAATGCAATATGTTGGGATATGCTATCTGTAATAAGGTGTATTTGGAATGGCTGATATTATATTTTACAGGCAACACAGTAACTTTGGCTTTGTGAAGCTGCATAACTCTCCACCTTGGAGCCATGACTTCTGGCACGTGCTTTGAAGATCTAGAAACTTCAGAAAATGTTATACATTCATCCATAGCAGCTGTACACCAGAAAGTGGGTTTTATATACAAAGTTTCAGAGTTTTTGTGGGCGAGTTCTTTTTCCTACCTCCCCCTGACCCATAGTATTGGAGGTGCAGAAGACATTCTTTCAGTCTTTGAGAAATGGGTTTGGGTTTGCCTGCTTGCAGATATTCTCTCAACTTTCTCTCAACCTCTCTAATTTCCAAGAGCAATCATACCATAATATTTACCTACATGGGGAAAAATAAATATACCTTTTTGGTAGGAGATTTTTAAATCGCTCGAGACATTTGTGCCAGCCATCTTGTAAGAGCTAATGAGAGGCAATGAGGACTCCATCCTATTTCCACTGAAATAAATAGAAAAATTCTATTGACTTCTTTATTATTATTTATAAATGAAAGGAAATAGGATCAGACCTTTAGAGGGGTATTTCAAAGCACCTATCAATCCCTCTACAAAAGAGTTAAGGGGATGCTGGCCCAAGCAGAAAGTTTTAAAATGTCAAGAACTCCAGTTTACTCTTGATGTTGTATGCAAGATACATCTTGGACCCACATGTGGCCTTTTTGGATACAGCTTTCATTGAATACTCTTCTCTAAAATGCTGCTTATCGTGTAGCTATTTTTTGTAGGTGGAAATAGCAATGTTACATTTACCACTAGTTTTCATATGCTTAATTATTTTAACAATTTGTGATGCTTTATTTTGTAGTGCCCACATTTTATGAAAAGAGTTTCACTACATCAGTGTGGAATAATCGTGTTAATTATAAGTTACTGTACACAAGTACTTTGCCAACATGCTCAACTCAGTCTTCAAAACCAGCTTGCAGAAAACATGGTCATTACTTTTGAACTTACTCATTGTAAGTACCTAGTTACATGCATGCATGTTCTGCTGTAGCTACATTGTATTTACCAAGTAAAAGTTACCTACAATAGTTGCCATGTGTGGAAATAATGGCCTATATATTTCTGCTGTGTATAATGCAGTGTCACACCACTTTCTTTAAATCCTGTTTTCTGCTATAATTACCACTACTTGAGGATCACCATTTTTATAGCGCCTACTAGCCATGACGGAGGGCAGTCTGTTTCTTCAGAGCTGTCATTGGTGTTATAGAGGTACTTGGGAAAACTATGAGGCAGGCTTCAAGTTTTAGTCTGAGAAGGCCTGTACTGTCACAAGTATCTGAGTTTGGTCTCCAATCAAGTCTTATATGCACTTGTGCAAGCACAAGAATATCAACATCTTTAATACCTGGCCCAATCCTTTAGCTCAACTTGCTTATGAGTGCTTTCTGCTACCTCAGTTGTAGAAGGCTAAACAAGTTTGCCATCTTACGCAGGTATGAAAAGTCCCTTCAGTATTATATTGAAAGTACTCTTAAGACTGCAGTTCTAAAAGATTGCTGATGTTTAGTTGTGCTTGCTTCACATTAATATATAATGTAGTTTTTATTTATCAAATGAAATCATTATAAACGTAACCTTTAAATACTCTTTTGCAAAATCTGTGGCAAGTCAGTCAACTGTAGAAACATTAGAACATAAGAACAGCCATACAGGGTTAGACCATCTAGCCAGTATGCTGTCTTCTGACAGTGGCTAATGCAAGATATTTCAAAGGGAATGAACAGAAAAGGGCGGTTATCCATCCTATGACATCCAGACCCAGTTTATAGCATTTAGGGCATGTCTACACTGCCGAGAAGATCTACCCTCTGGAGGTTGATCTTCTAGTGTTTGATTTAGTGGGTCTAGAGTAGACCCCCTCCAATTGCCATCCTGCAGTGTAGCTGCAGCAGGTTGTCTTAAGGTAAGCCAAATCTAGCTCTGCATTTTGCGTAGCTGGATGGTGTCCCTTAAGCTGATCTGCCTGGTCAGGTGTAGACCTAGGCTTAGAGACTTAGGGAGATCTACTGCATGGGTGGTGATGATGGCTAATATATCCCTGATCATCTTGGATTATAGCCATTGATGTACCTAATTTTCATGAACTTATCTAATACTTTTTGTGCTGTGACAATTTTAACTTTTGGCCATCACAACATACAATATACATACATGGCAACAGGTTCTACAAGTTGACGGTATGTTGTGTGAAGAAGTACCTTTGTTTTAAACCTACTTTCTGTTTAAATGTCTTTGTTTTTGTGTTACATGAAGGGGTAAATAACATTTCCTTATTAATTTTCTCTGTCCCATTCATGATTTTACAGCTCTCTGTCAGAGCCTCCTTAGTCCTCTCTTTTTTTTCCCCCAACCTGAAGAGGCCCAACCTTTTTAATGTGTCTTCCTATGGAAGCTGTTCCTTAACCTTAATCATTTTTGTTGCCCTTCTCTGTACCTCTTCCATTTCTAATATATCTTTTTTTAATTGGGATGACCAGAACTGCATGCAGTATTCAAGGTGTGGGCATACCATGGATTTATATAGTAGCATTATGATATTTTTATCTTATTATCTATGATAATGATAGTTCTTGTTTAGGTTTTTTTCAACTGCTTCTCACATTGAGCAGATATTTTTAGAGAATGCCAAGTTCACTTTCTTGAGAGGTAACAGCTAATTCAGACCCCATCATTTTGTCTCCATTATTGGCTTTATGTTTTCCCATGTGCATTACTTTGCATTTATCAGTATGGAATTAATCAGCCATTTTGTTACCTAGTCACCCAATTTTTTGAGATTCCTTTGTAACCCTCCACAGCCAGTTTTGGACTTATTTTGAGTGATTTTTGTATCCTCTGCAAAATTTGCCACCACATTGTTCGTCCCTTTTTTCCAGATCATTTGTGAAACACAAAATGATCTCTGAAAAGTTGATATATTTTTAGATGAATGAGAAATTCTCATTCATATTGTTATAATGTGGTGGTCAGAATGCAGGTCCTGAAGGTGAAAAGTGTTTAAGCACCATGCAATCCAATATTGAAATCATTTAAAAACCTTTATTGTCCTTTCTTTAAAAAAGCATTTTGGTTACATTTTCCAGTACTGCTGTGATGGATATATTTTTCTTATACTTCTGGAATATATTATCAATTTAAAAAATTGTAAAATATTGAACATTTTCCTTCTGTGTATGATATAGTGCTTATTTCCATTAACTTTAAGTGTTTTACATTTCAGTGCAATAGATATACCATGCTTTTCTCTTGTTCCACTATGGCAGGAAAGGCAAAAATGCTGTTAGGGATGGAATAATAAGATGCCGTTAGAGTGGAATTTTTTCTCAGTGACTGTTAAATACTGCCCATTGCCATTAGGTTTGTTCTTGGTACACTTACCATAAAATGATTTCTTATGGACAAATTAATGAAATAATTTCCACCGCAAACAATGAAAGAAAAACAATTTCTGCATGTAAAATCTTTGTATAACAAAAGGAAGGTACACATTTTTATTTCAGAGGGGGGGTATCTCTGGATATAATAGTCTCACCTGGATTTTAAAATGGTACTTTGTTAGTTTGCAAACAGCACTTTTTAAATGAAAGCTTGTAGATTTGTAAATATGTAATGTTTACATTTTATTTACCAAAAAAGCCACATCAGTTTGTTAGATGTTTATTTTGTTTTTTGTAATTCATTTCAAATATATAGGTCATAATGATAAACCTTTTGTCTCATCTAAAAGAATAAAAGTTCAAAGTTTTACGAGTAAATAACCATACTGAGATTTTTTTTGTTTATACTTATTTAAATTGTATTAAATGGTTTAAGCATGACCGAAAACTCTATAGTTTATCATCACTTTGCTGGTTTAATTGGTAGCCTTAAACCATACAATCTAATTGATAATGGTAGATGTCAATTAGCATTTCTTTGTGACACAATTATGCAAAAGATGAAAAGTAATGTAAGATTATTTCAGCTTCCTCTTTTGATAATACTTTAACTTCCTGTTTTTCCTTATCTTTTACTGCTTTGCAGTGTATTCTCCTGGTCCCCGATCCTGCAAAGCAATGTGTACCAGTGGTCTTGTAGGTTTATGTGGTGTCCTACTAGTTTATGTAGGACTTCACCAAGCCCTGATCTACATTAGGACATTATTTCAAAATAACCCTCCCAACATCGAATTAAATGCAAAACCTAAAATTTCGAAATAATAAGCAGAGTGTCCACACTGTCACACCCATTATTTCATAATAATGGGCTGCAGAATTCGAAATCAGAACTCCCACTTTTCATCAGGAATAACGCTAATTCCAAAATAGTTATTGTGAAATAACGGTAATGTGGACGCTGCAGTGCCACTATTTCAAAATAACTACTCCCCAGAATTATTCGAACTAATTATCCCCCAGTGCTTCCTGGAGCTCTAAATCAGAGGTCGCACATCCACATTAATGGAGCCTGCCTCGGACTAATTTTGAGGCTTCTCCATAGTGTAAACACACTAGTTCAAATTTGTTAATTCGAATTTAGTAATTTTGAAATACTTTCCTAGTGTAGATATGGCCCATGGGTTTAGGGGTCACGTTGCAGGATTAGAAGCCTATTTATATTGGGGCAGAGTGGATATCCTTCAGGATTGCTGTGTAACTGGTAAATGCTTCTCTGAGCCCTGGTCTACACTAAGGAGTTATTTCGAAATAACCCCACTTATTTCAAAATAATAAGTGGAGCATCCACATTACCACGCCCATTATTTTGAAATAACGGGTTGGTTATTTTGAAATCAGTACTCCTGCTTTCCTTGGGGAATAAGCTTATTTCAAAATAGTTATTTTGGGAGTTATTTCAAATTTAGTTATTTTGAAATAATTTCCTAGTGTAGACCTGTCCCCACTGAGCACAGAAATCGGTGTATTGCTCTTTCTCCAAAGAATTTAGGGTGAAACTCCCCTATGTTTAGCAGGGGCCAACTCAAGGCCTGTTCAACACTTATATCCCACATTAGCCCTATTTTGCAGGTGTAAGAAGATCAGAACGGTCTTTCTCCACAGGGCTGAATTACACTGTCAGGGTTTGACCCCACATTCAGTGAGCTCTATGACAAAAGTTTGACTTCAGTGGGTTTAGGATCAGGCCCTTTCACTAACAATTTAGACCTTGGTTCTGCAAAGACTAATAATACTCTGACTTCTGCAACACTTGCTGAGGATCTTCAGTGACTACAAGTAGGTAGGGCCTTAATCTTTCACTGTATTATTTCAATAGGACTACTTGCCATGCATTACATTTTAAACTCTTCCCAATTATCACCCCTAATGTCATTACCTCACAGACACTAACCTTCCCCCCTCACTCCCACTCTGTTCTAAAATTTGATTTGTCAATTTCACATGCGTTCATTTTTTTGATTGTATCACTTTGGTATATATGGTTGTGCCAATTTTCTTCCACAAATTGATCTGGCCCACAAAAGCTCATCACCTAATAAACCATCTTGTTAGTTTTTAAAGTGCTACATAGTTCTGTCTTTTGTTTCATTTTAAACTCTTGTATGAGTTTTTACAGGATTGGGGCCTAGATCAGTAAAGCTTTTAATACTGATCACCTCAGTCTCTGGTCATTAAAGAGCTGGGTTAGACTTGGCCAAAATTTTAGGATTTGCATTTAAATATGTTAATAGAAACCTTTTATTTGAATTTTTGAAGTATCACTAAGCTTGGTAAAACATAACTACCTTAAACCTATTTTCAAGTTTATTTACACATATATTGAGATGGTGGTTACACCTAAGCCTCATATAGATATTGGGCAGGATATGATTCTATCTTCTAGCATCACACTGAGAATCAAAAATACAAAGTAAAGAGCAAACATGGTGAGCCCCAATAGTTTGTTCATTTTCCATTTAGACACAGCAATTGAGATGATCACAAACAAGAGCATGAGAAAAAGCAGAACAATTGCACAAAATAAACCATTACTACTGACAGCAACTGCACTGAGTCCATTGAAGACAGAATAAAGGAACCAAGGAACTGGCAAACTGCAAGTAAGAGAACAGTAGTTTAAAAGAATGTTTAAAGAAGTTCACACACATGCTGAATTTTATACATAGCTATAAAGCATTTGGAGTCAAGATTCATGAAGAAAAACAATGTCATCTTCATAATATTTTATCTAAAATTACTTATCTTGCTTTCGACCCTAGGAATCAAGTTCAGGATAGTATTGTGCTCTGCTTTAATTCTTATCATTCAAGAACCACAAAGCACCTTACTAATAATATTCACGAATTAAACCTTTCTGTACCACAAAGTCAGGTACATAAGTCATATATATCTCTGTTTTACAGATGCAGAAAACTAGTTTATAGTTTGTGTCTTGAGTAAAGTTACACAGGAAACCATGGAACATAAGAACAGCCATACTGGGTCAGACCAAAGGTCCATCTAGATCAGTATCTAGTCTGCTGACAGTGACCAATACCAGATGACCCATAGGGAGGGAACACAACAGGTAATCCTCATGTGATCCCTCCCCTGTCACCCATCTCCAGAGAAATAGAGGCGAGGGACACCATTCCTACCCATCCTGGCTAATAGCCATTGATGGACCTAACCTCCATGAATCTATCTTAACTCTTTTTTGAGCCCTGTAAGGGTACGTCTAGACTACAAGCCTCTTTCAAAAGAGAGTGTCTAGACTAGAAGTAGATTTTTCAAAAAAGAGAACTGCTTTTTCGAAAGTCTAGATGCTCCCTTTTGAAAAAAGCACAGTTTACATTCAATAGCGCCTTTTTTCGAAAGAGTACTTTCAAAAAAGGCATTATTCCTCGTAAAATTAGGTTTACTGTGATCGAAAAAACTGCCGCATTCTTTCGATTTACTTTTTCAAAAAAACCCTGTAGTCTAGACACACCCTTAAAGTCCTATCTTCCCCATGTCCTCTGGCAAGGAGTCCCACAGGTTGACTGTGCACTGAGTGAAGAAAAACTTCCTTTTGTTTGTTTTAAGCCTGCTGTCTATTAATTTCATTTGGTGACACTAGTTCTTACATTGTAGGAATAAGTAAATAACCTTTCCTTATTTACTTTTTCCACACAAGTCATGATTTTATAGACCTCTTTCATATCTCCCCCTTAGACAAAACTTGGATCTCTTGACTCCAAATCCTGAGCTTAAGGGCAAGAGATCATTGTTTCTCTCCTGAAAAATTGTTAAGGGTACGTCTACACTGCAACACTATTTTGAAATAACTAGCACTATTCCGAAATAACTTAGTCCATGTCTACACAGCAGGCACTTATTTCGAAATAGTGTCAAAATACTGTCAAGCTGGAGGACTTCTTACTCCGACTCCTGTAACCCTCATTGTTTGAGGAGTAAGTGAAGTTGAAGGAAGAATGCTCTATTTCAAAATAAGTGCTGTGTAGATGCTCGCTATTTCGAAATAAGCCATTTTGAAATAAGATACGCAATTGACGTAGCTCAATTTGTGTAGCTTATTTAGAGTTAAACCCTGCAGTGTAGATGCACCCTAAGACTACGTCTACATTGCACAGTTATTTCAGAATAAGCTTTTCCAGAATAGTTATCCCGAAATAACTTATTTCGCAATAGCATGTCTACACTGCAGAGAAGCCTCAAAATTAATCCGAAGCAGGCTTCCCTAATGTAGATGGGCTATCTCAATTTAGAGCCTCAGGAAGAATAACTTATAATGGCCGTGATGAAGGGCTGTTTTGAAATAGCGGAAGTGGAATTTCAGCCCCTATTCTGAAATAACTATTTTGGACTAGGCATTATTCTTCGTAGAATGAGGTTTACAGAAGTCAGAATAAGCAGTCCGTTATTTCCAAATTATTTTGAAATAACGGGATTGCTGTGTAGACGCTCGCATAGTTATTTTGGAATACTGGCTGTTATTCCGAAATAACTTTGCTGTGTAGACACACCCTAAGTGATCCTAGCATAGCCTTGGCAGAAGTGTGTTCTTTTACAGGCCACTTTTCCTCCTGTGAATGATCACATACCCCTCTTTCCGTCCCATTTTATATTGCAAAACATCCCTGCGGCAGCAACACCAGCTGCTAACGTAAAACTGGGGGTGGGGAGCTCCTTCAATGCAGTATATGTGATCGGTCTGGGGAGGGAAAAGGGGAAGTGAAATCTGACCCAACCGTCTCTTCTTGCCATTCATTTCACCTCCTCTGCTCTATCTCTAGGCTCCATCGCTGACTTTTGTGCTTCTCGCACACTGGGTCTCATTTTTCTCTCCCTCTACTTGTCCTCTTCTCTCTCTGCATGTGCTGCCCAGGCACCTAATGTCCCAATACATCCTCTCTTAATGACAGCACAGGGCCCACTGGCAACTGGTGTTTCCTGTCCTACTGCTGGCTGTTCCTATTTCTGCAGCGCAGCATCCCCCACCCCTGTGTGACCTATGAACTATTCCCTTCCTGTCTGCAGTTTCAAAGCCTAACACTAGCACAAATAACACTGCTCTGCTAGCCCTGCCCCCTGCTCTGGCCTGGGGCCAGTTCTGCCTCCCTGGGCCGTCAGGGTGATCCTCCCTGCTCCTGATCTTTCCTTTGCCTTTTTTTTTTTTTTTTAATTCTTTTCGTTTTGGGGTGGTGTTGAGCAGCCTGCTTTGTTCTCTCTGCCACTTGGACCAGGTATGTAGCAGCATGTAGCTCAAGCATCTCCACCAGCTTTCAAGGATGGCAGAGCAGCCATGCAAGCTGCAGACTCGCCCCAAAGAGGTCTCCTTCTGTGAGGCAGCTTTACCAGGCTCGACAGAGGGAAAATTGTGCCCTGCCTGTTGTCAGCAATTTGTTTTTAAATGACAGAGCTATTTCATTTTGAAAAAACGGCTCCTCGGCAGGTAGCGCCGTCTGTATTACTTTAAAGATAGCAAGAGTTTAGCGCAGATCTCTAGATCTTCTATAAAGTACTCGTCAAGCTCTGTAACAGGGTCAATGCAAGTCCGAATACCCTAGACGGTAAAAAAAACAAACCCAAAATTTAAAAAAATGTCACTTGAGGGGAAACCAATCTCGGCCAAAGGAGGGACATTGTCGCTGCCTCTCATGCCTTGGAGCTGAAAGATGAAATGTTTTCTGACATGCTGCCATCCATGGATAAAGCTGCTGTGATTATTTATTGTGTGCCACAGGCTCATGTTCAGTGGCATGACAGCAGATTAGACTAAAAACTTTTATCACTTACATTTTTGTGTGTGTTATCACCTCGCTGCTGCAGTACCTGGCATGGGGTTGTAGTTATAAAATCTCTCTTTGGGTCAGGTTAACTAACAAATTCTGTTCCAATGAATGTGTGTAACTAATTGTCCAGCTGTGCTTTCATTTGGCTTTAAACCAACATCAAAGGAACGAGTCAGATTTAGACGGGAATAGAAATCAGCATTTTCTACTTCAAAACAAACATGGTATTTCACCTGTGGCTGGTACTTACCCAACAGTGATATCAAAGATGTTGCTGCCCACAGAGCTGGAGACAGCCATGTCGCCCAGGCCTTTACGTGCAACAATAACGCTTGTGATGAGGTCAGGAATTGAAGTCCCTGCTGCCAGGATTGTTAAACCCATAATTTCCTCTGAAATCCCAATTGTTTCTCCAACCTAATAAACAGCAACAATGATCCTGAGTTTTTACATACAGAATTGAATTACCCTATTTGTTCTTGAAGGCCTGCTGCATATTTGAGTTATAATTTTATTTGAAATCCTCTCACCAGCTGCAACCTATTTCTAGGATTGCCAGATGGTTTAACCAAAAATACCAAACATCCCCCCCCCCCCAAACACACACACACACACCAAAAAAAAAAAAAAACACCGGGGAAAAAAATTCTGTGGGGGGTGGAGAAGGAGGAGACCAAAATTGTTAAGAAAGATAAATAAATAAAACAGCACGGCCCCCTTCACTGCATGCAGAGTCAGAATAGGGATAGGCACAGGGGAGAAGTTGAGCACTAAGACCCAGGGAAGGCATTGCTTCCCCTTGGTCTTTAGGCTTTTTGCCAGCAGCCATTTTGTTTTCTTGATCAAGCCAGAACGCAGCTTCCTTGCGGAACCAGGTATGCAGGAGGACCGGGCCCAGTTGCCGAGTGTGACGTAGGGTTGCCAGGTGTCTGGTATTTTCGCCTCCTGGCAAGGAAAAATAACAGAAAATACCGGACATTTTAGGGGTCCGGTATTTTATTAATTTTTTTACCGGACAGGAGGCAAAAATACCAGACTGTCTGGGTCAATATTGGACACCTGGCAACCCTAACTATTTCTCCCTTTAAGAGGCAAAATGGTCTAATTCGAGAGAGTGTTTTGATAGGAAATCCTTTCTTTAATGGAAATAGATTTCTTTTAACCCCTTCTAACTGCAAAATTGGGTCTTGTATGTAAGATCAAGTGGGAACGGTTACAGTCCAGCACGCCGCTAACCTGGAAGACCTGCAGAAAATGTGGAGTTATCTTTACAAATTTGGCTAAACCTAAATTATGAAAATGTTTTTTTGTCTGAGTGGTCTTCCTAATTGGACAAACAATCCCAATTTGCTGATTGACATCTCTGCTGTGGTTTGGTATCCATAACTTCCGTTGAGTTTTGGTTTGATTAATTGTAAGAGAAATGCGCAATATATCATCAAATACATATTCCAGGCCCTAATCCTGTTCCTTCACATCCTCTTAAATAGCAAATTGATATTAAGTCAAGAGGCACTGAAGGCACTCAACATCATATTATATAGCTGACCTTATATTCCTATAAACGTATTAAATGAGATATGGATAAAACACCTATTTCCCCTATAGAAACATGCACAGATAAAAAGATTAAGATGACATGTCTTCCATGAATGCACAAACTCCCTTAGAAACTGGGGGATAAAGATTTCATCTTTGTCAAATGAAAAAGGATGAAATTGAAAATCCTCTCTTGGATTCTCCCAGAACAAAATTTTTAGTGTTAGTTGGATGGCAATATCTGCATAGCCATTGAAAACAAAGGATAATATCTGTACTACAACAGCACAGCTGTGTTGCTGTCACTGTAGTATAGGTACGTCTGATGTCGACGAATAGCATTTTTCTCTTGGGCTACGTCTAGACTGGCATGATTTTCCACAAATGCTTTTAAAGGAAAAGTTTTTCCGTTAAAAGCATTTGCGGAAAAGAGCGTCTAGATTGGCACGGACGCTTTTGCATAAAAGCACTTTTTGCGGAAAAGCACCCGTGCCAATCTAGACGCGGTTTTGCACAAGAAAGCCCCAATCGCCATTTTCGCCATTGGGGCTTTTTTGCGCAAAACAGTTTTTAACTGTCTACAAAAGCATTTGCGCAAGAAGGCTTTTTCCTGAGAGGGAGCAGCATAGTATTTGCGCAAGAACACTGACAATCTTACATTAGATCACCAGTGTTCTTGCACAAATTCAAGTGGCCAGTGTAGACAGCTGGTAAGGTTTTTCGCAAAAGCAAGTGCTTTTGCGGAAAAACTTGCTAGTCTAGACGCAGCCTTGATGTACCTAGCCTCTCCAACAGACGGTGGCTAGGTCCATGAAAGAATTCTTAGGCTGACCTAACAGTTGCATTTTTTTCATCCCTGTACTACGTAGCGAGATCTATTTCATTTTTAGGTGAAGACCAAGGATGGTGGGTGATACCAGGGCTTAGGGAAACAAACACCATCAGCCCCTTCCCCCCCCCCCCACTCTGGCTTGCTGGTCCCTACCCAGCCTCCTCTACCTCCTACCCCTACATTGTGGCTACTGGCCCTTGCCCCTTCCAAACTCCCCTGGCCTTGGAGCTCTGGAAAGCCAGTGGTTGGCCCAGTCACAGTCTCCTCTGGCCCTGGAGTTCGGAGGAGCTTGCGGGCAGCGCGGCCACAGCCTCCCCCGGCCCTGGAGAACTAGCCAGCAGGTATGGTAGAGGGCTGGGCATGGGTGAGGCAGCTTGGGAAGGCAATGCCTGCCCCTGCCTAGGATACCTGCCACCCATGCTGTAGACTAGGCCAGTGTCTGCTGCATTGTTCCCCCTCTCTACTTGTTCTCCTTCCGCCTAGAAAAACCTCTCACCTGATGTGCCCACCACACCATGAGGTAGGAGAAGGCAGCAATCCAGACAATGGCTCCGAGAAATGTGATGGCAAAGAAGTTTCTGGAGTTCTGTTCAAAGCAAGTTGGAAAAGAAAACAGTTAGGGGTCTGGCCTTCCCCACAGCCCTTAGGACTGGGTCACACACTAGGAAACCTGCCCTCTCCACATCCCATCACCTCAGGGAGTTTTTTAATACAGCCCCATCATCTCTGGTCTCATTTTGTTTGATTTTTCACCTCTCTAGTAGGAGCCCAGTCTCTGCTGATCCCTTGTGTGGTGGCTTCAAACCGGCTTCGTGCAGTGCTTAGTTTTCAGTCCACACTATTTTATTGCCTGTCATCCCACCCCCAGTGGGTTTTTTCAGTGGATCTGGAAGTGCTGCCTCCTGTCATGGGACTGGTCAGTGGGTGAATGGCCCATCTGAGAGGTAACCCATACCACTAGGTGCTGTGACTACACGCCACAATGAAATGCCCTGGATCTAGGCAGCAGTAGCATGTATGAATTCAGTCTCCTCTTGTGTAACGTACTCTGCGGACAGCGCTAGGCAGGCAGAGAGCATTGTTGTTTATTTCTTCTTGACATTTTTCACTGCTTTTTTAAAAAAAAAAGCAGTCACGAAAATAGAGCTCCAAATGCAGCAGCAGCCCACGCTTCCCTGCCAAGCCGCCTCGCACAATGGGGACCGACTCCTTGGCAAAGCCAGAGGGCTGCACTGGCCCCAGGCTCATCCTGGTATTTGCCTCTCTGCTCCCACTGCCCGCTGGGCAGAAGTGGAGGTTTCTCTCATGTCAAATCTGGGACTGAGCTAGCCTCTGCGGTTTCCTAGAGGAGTCTCTGCCTCAGCCTTAGCTGTTGCCTGCTGGGTTTGCCTTGCAGAGGTTGGGGAGGTAGAGAAGAATAGCTGCTTTCAGTTACTTTGAAAGCCTTTGAAAGCCACCCCACTACCAGAACTGGGGCTATGCTCCAGCTCTCATTACCATCAGTGGGAAGTAGGTAGCTAGAGGCCCTAGCTATCTACGGAGAAAACAGAAACACCATGGCTACGTCTACACTGGCATGATTTTCCGGAAATGCTTTTAATGGAAAAGTTTTCCATTAAAAGCATTTTCAGAAAAGCACATCTATATTGGCAGGACGCTTTTCCACAAACGCACTTTTTGTGGAAAAACGTCCGTGGCCAATCTAGACGCGCTTTTCCGCAAAAAAGCCCCGATCGCCATTTTCGCAATCGGGGCTTTTTTGTGGAAAACAAATATCTGTTGTCTACACTGGCCCTTTTGCGCAAAAGTTTTTCGGAAAAAGACTTTTGCCCGAACGGGAGCAGCATAGTATTTCCGCAAAAGCACTGACTATCTTACATGAGATCGTCAGTGCTTTTGCGGAAATTCAAGTGGCCTGTGTAGACAGCTGGCAAGTTTTTCCGGAAAAGCGGCTGCTTTTCCAGAAAAAGTGGCCAGTCTAGACACAGCCCATGACTCTGTTAAAGCTAGAGATCCGTTATCCAGCACAGTGGCATAAACAAAGTAAAATCTTACTGGGTTCCTAACGTCGGGCACAGTGAGCCAGAGTGGGAACACAACAGGCAGGAGGAAAAGGTAAATAGCTTGTTTTCTCCTGGTCTCTGGCCAGTTGAGGGATAACGGCTCTTCATTTTCTTCCTCCTCGTCTTCCTCCTCACTCTCCTCATCACTATCTTCCTCCTCCTCTGAGCTGTTGCCTTCTATGTCACCACACTCTGGAGAGAGCTGGGAAGTAGAGATCTAGGTTTTGATGATCCCATTTGGAAATAGTTGCAGAATATTCTGTCCCCAGGCCACCAGGCCGTGACCACATTATGAATGATTCCATCTTAGTGCAGATGCCCAGGGAAGCTGCAATCAGACCCGGGCGTATGTGTACAGCAGTTGTGCCCAGAGGCTGTGGTCAGGGATTTCCCCTTCCCCCGTGTTGGGCATGGGACACACCTAGACCATACATGTTATTTGCCTTTCAAACCACCAGGTCATCAGCACAGCTTTAAATAGCCTCATCTTTGTAAAGGGCCCACTGTCCCTTCACTGGGGTCGGGCACAGAGCATTAAAACAAAAAGAATAGCCCCAGAGAATGACACAATCTTTGCCCCAACCAATTTACCCAGGTTGTGGTAGCCTGATTTCTACTGCAGAGTCGCTCCTCGAGCAGTCCCCCTGGAATCCCTGGGCCAGCTGGAGGAGTAGAGCAGTACACTATGCAAGACTAGGATAGTAGCAGTAATACCTTTGAACCTGGAATTGACTAGCATTGCGGGGGCTTAGCTGAGTCAAACTAGTTATTCATGTTAGCTCCCTCTGTTACTACTCAAGATAGCTCATTACTACAAGGGCAGTCTCGTTAGCATGGTTACTCCCTAGTGCTGGGCCGTGCCCCTCTTCCAACATGCAGGTTTTGGCCTGGGCTGAGCTGTTGTCCGCATGGTTCCCGTTCACAGTACCTGCCTGCCATGCGGGGGGTCCACACCGTGTTCATCCTGCGTGACACTGAGGTTGGAGTCACTGGAATGTGTTACTTCAACAGTGGTGGGCGCTTCCGCTCTGTTCTCTGCTCAAAAGGAGAAGAGGGATAGCTGGGCCCAGACACGCAAGCAGCAAGACACGATCTCCCCCCTTCTCCGCAAGGAGCTTGAGAGTGTGAAACATTTATGTTTCTGACCTGTCAACTGGAGCAGGGTGGAGTAAGCTCTTTCCAAAAGGCTGGAAGGTCAATCTATTGTCCGTTCCCTCTGCTTATCCTACTGATGCACCCAGTTAGAGAGTCTGGCCAGCAAAAGCCAGCCAGCCCGCCTCAGGCCCACAAACCTCAGACATAAGCCTCTTGTGGTTGCTTTGCCTCCCTCCTTTATGCTGAGGCATCTCTTATGTAATACCATGCAGCGAAAGGCTCCCCCCTCCCCTCATGGCAAGGCAGGGAAGTGCTGATTGGCCGATTGCTAATGGACACGTCACAGCGCAGTCTGAGAATTCTAGGAAAGCCAGCTCAGCACCCAGGCAGGATGTAGGGCCGTGCTTCCTTCTTCCCACCGTGACAGGGGCACACTCAAGGGGCCAATGCAGTTCAAGGTTTCTCAGAAACAACTCTTCTGGCTGCCAGGCGTTAATCCCTAATCGCTTGGCACATGTCCAAAGAGAAAAGTGCTGACACCCAAGCACACAATGCAGAAACATCCCCGCCTGCTCTGTGCTGATCCCTCCAGGCATGTAATTAACCCAGGTGACCAAAAGCAAGAGACGCCAACAAACAGCCACGCAGAACAGCGCTGGAACATGGATGTTGCACGGTAGCGGGAAAAGAGGCATTGCCTCAGACTGTGGTTTTGACACGCTGCGGTGATGAGGCTTAGCAAATATATTCTGGATAGCCAAATCTGCTGGGTCAGGAGACCATGTTAGAACAGGATCTTACCAAGACTAGTATTGTAGGATGATTTGGTCTGAGCCGTGTGGACTGAACCAAACTCCCTTGTAATGGTCTTAGTGCAGCCGTGTTTACAGCTTTTAAAAAGGTGAGGTCAGGTGTTCAGTAGCCCTTGGTCACTGCTCATCGTCAGTCACTGTCTCTTTGGTAAGATGGGTAGGAGGTAGCCTAGCCACATCTATACAGGAAAGAGCCTTTTGGGAGCAGATCCTCACTGCTGAAGTCAGTGGAACTGTGACAATTTGCTTTGGCTTTGAGGATATCCTCCTCGATCTTTGTCCACGGCTTTGCTCCAGCGTGGTCCCATCTACATGGGCAAAACCGAACTCTGTTATCGCATGGTCTGGGCACGCCAATGGAACAGCACCTGCCTGGGGGGATGGGCACGTCTGTGTGAATTTTACCCATTCACTGTCAGCTGGTGCCAGCCCCACGCTCAGCATCGATCCATGTTGCAGCACTGGACTTCTACAACTGCCAGCGCAAGCAGCCTACGCCTCACTGCAGGATCTGCAGCCATGGCGGGGTGAACGAGTGCAGTGCAAAGCAAAAGAACTCTACAGGCAAATGGCACCGCTTGCCCTGAGCTCACCTTCCGGTTTCACTCCTGGTCTGGCCTGGGAGCCTACTTTGCCCATGGCCAAGTTGCTCATGATGTCAAGCTTGTCTTTAAATTTTTCTGGGAACGAGAAGAGGGACAGGACAGGCTGGTCATCAGGCATAAGGAATTAACTCCCACCCAACGAGCCTTGTAGTACAGGCTGCAGTCAACCCTGACACCCAAGGGGTGTGTCTAGACTACATGGTTCCGTCGATGGAGCCATGTAAAGTAGTTTACCTGACATAGTCAATGACGCGGGGATTTAAATAATCCCCGCTTCATTAAAATAAAAATGGCCGCCGCGCTGTGCCGACAATCAGCTGATCCGGCACAGCACGGCAGTCTCGACGCAGATCGGACGACAAGGGAAGCCTTTGTCCACCACACCTGTAAATCTCGTTGCACGAGGCATAAGGGAGTGGTCGACAAAGGCTTCCCCTGTCGACCGATCCACATCTAGACTGCCGCGCTGTGCTGGATCAGCTGATTATTGGCACAGCATTGCAGTCATTTTTATTTTAATGAAGCGGGGATTATTTAAATCCCCGCGTCATTGACTATGTCAGGTAAACTACTTTACATGGCTCCACTGACAGAGCCATGTAGTCTAGATGCACCCAAGGAGTTTTCAGCTCCAGAGAGTTGCTAATGACCAGGACTGTTATAGTCTCTCTCTACAGGCAGTTAGTACTGCAGTAATTATCCCTGAGCCCTGAAAAGGTGGTTTGCTTGGCGTCTAAAATAAGAAGCTTTCCAAGGAAGTCTAGATAAGATGTGGGGGGGAGAGAGGGATTCCTTCCCGCTCAGCAGCATGGCTGACATTCAGGGCTGCGGAGCGAGTGGGTGCAGAAGGAAGGCGTTGTGAGGTAAGATAATGTTGAGGCCTGCGTAGTTCAGGTTTTGATGACAGGAGAGCTACATGCGGCGCCTTCTCTTGTCATGTGACTGGAGAAAGAGGCTTGACCAGTGTCCTTGCCGCCTGGCAAATCCAGGGAATGGGATGAGAAATATTCTTTAAATTCCATGGATTGTGAGGACGACAAACTCCGCCGCGTCACTGTGAGGCCCCTCTTCATGCAATTGGCTCATGGATTGGCGTGGCCCACTCGTGAGCAGCCACAAAGCCCCCTCCCTGGGTTACTGTGTTCACACTGGCACTGCACTCCCCCATGTGTGGTGTTAGGATGGCTGAGGGTACATCCTCTGGTTCTTTGCATCAAGCTGAGCTGCTCTAGGATTCTTTCCCCAGGAACTGTGGGAGAGCCTGGCTGTCCTTCCGGGCACACGGGGCATTGTGGGAAGGCACTGGAGGACTATCCGTGTTTGAGTGGTTTACCAAAGTCGGAGGAGTTACCTGCCCCAGTGAAAGCAGCACCCGGGATCTAGCCCAGTCCCAGGATGGGCCAGCAAGCCTGGGCCGAAAGCACCACTAAACTGAGAGGTTCTGAGGCTATGTCTACACTACAGAGAGTTTTTGTTTTTTCAGAAAAAGGGCTGTTTTTCCAAAAAAAACTCGCAGAGCGTCCACACCTCAAGTGCGTTCTTGCACAAAAAGATCAAAAGAACAGAGGGGTTTTTCTGGTGTAGGTAATCCTCATTCTGCGAGGAAGAACGCCTTTTTGTGAAAGAGTGCTTTCGCCAAAAGGTGTGTGTGGACGGGGAAGAGGGGTTTTTGGCACAAAAAGAGGAAAAAGCACAGGTGCCCTGGTGGTGCACAGCAATCAGAGCTTACTTTCGAGAGTGTCCGTGCAGTCTGGACGCTCTCTTTTCGATGCACTTTTGCAGTGTGGATGCGGTCTTGCGCAAGAAGTTTTTGCAGACGA